TTACCAAATAGGTAAGATTCATCAACATTCTCAACATCTTGCAGTATGGCAAAATCACGGAAGTTGAAATGCCACGTAGGAAAATTAGGGAGCATTTCTAGAACCTCTGTATTGCAATGAATTAGGAGTTTGTATTTTGCAACCGTAGTTCGGTACTTATCAATATTGCTGTCTAAGTAGTAGTTCCTTATTCTATAAACTCCACATTCATGGAAATAGCCAGCCATCTTTGACATATGAACGGCACGAATAATACCGGATATGCGATTTCCCTAAGAAAAATATAAAATAGGTTTAAACATAATTAACGAATATGATAATTGAAAATTTTAGTGATAAACAATACAATCACGAAAAATATAAAATAGGTTTTAACATAATTAACAAATATGATAATTGAAAATCTATGTAATAAACAATACAATCACCTCTTCATCGTGGAATACGATCTCCAATTGTCTTCGATGAGCCGCATCAAATGATTTTTCGAAGACCCGAATTGCTCGAAGTTTGAGCATGAATCGCTTACTTCTCTGAATCTGTCGGATGAAGCCAAATGGTTGGTCCATGGTTTAATTATATGAAATGGGATGTATGGTCGTGGTTGATTATTTGGACGATTGAGAGCGAGATGAAAGAATTTATTATAGAGGTATTTATAGTTGTATTACTGTTAATATTTTATATAAACATTTTATATTTTATTTTAATCCAATAATAATATTGTAAGGAGTCAATATTAGGTATATATCCGAATATTAGGTATCGTATTGGAATATGCAATATATTGAGATTGATATATTAATATTAAATATTTCATTTAAAATTATTACGCAAATGTAGTCATCTATCCTTGTAGAAGATTTGTGCTAATCTTTTACGCAAATGTAGTCACATAATCCGTGATTTTCACAATTAAATATACAATTATTCCTATTTAACATAAAATTTCCATCATTATCCCGCAATTAAATATACGATCTTGGCACAAATTTAATTACAGATTTTGCGTAATATCAACCAATTTTGGCATCAAAACAATTAAGTTATACGGATTCCCAACCAATTCGGATATGTAGAAGGAAATTGTAACTGGAATTGCACAAAATCCGTGATTTTCACAATTAAATCGGAATCCGTATGACAATGAAATTGAAGGATTGAAACAAAAATTAATTAGACCAAATCCAAGCAATTCGCGTGCACTTAATGATTGCTAAAAGTAGTAAGTCAAAAGATTATTTTTTAAGGTCAACCTTACTATTTCTATATTTTTCCAACAACCTCTTTATATTACTATAGATTGGGTTTGAGATAAAAGGCACAAAATTTAACCTAACTCATTTAGCATTAGCACCATCCGCCCCCATCTTCAATCTTCACAAATCACTCTGCACTCATCACTCGACATCAGACTCGTCAAAGACACAAACCCTCCTCACAACCCACCCCGGTCGTCGGTCGCTCGCTGTCTCACAATACTCGCATTCCGCCATTCCCATCTCATCAGTCACCTGCAGCTCCGCTCATCTCGGCATCTACCTACCGGCCACCGCTGACCCCCGCTCTCAGTCACGGCCGCCGCTGATTCTCGGACGCTCCGAACGGCAACGACAAGAATTGCTACGGAGGACGCTGTAACTGTAAGCCCTTTTCTTCTTGTAATATTGTTTGATTTGGGGCCGAAAAAATAATGAGGGTGAGGGTGAGGGCTTAAAGGTGACGGTGAGGGTGAGGGACTGAGGGTGATGATGACCGGCTGTGAGGGTGGCCGGGTGTAAAAAATGGGCTGATTGGGTTTTTGCAAATGAGTTGTTTTTTTATATTAATCCTAATGAGCTGTAAAAAATGGACTGAGGGCTGTAAACAAATTAATTGTAAGAGGTAAACTAATTCTTGTTTGCACTACCTAATGGTTCCATCCTTTGGCGAGGCTATTCTTGTTTGCAAATGTGCATACCACATGTTTCTCATCCATATATGATTTTTCTCTTTACCTTTCTGTACTTTAACAGTTTGACTCTTAACTGTCGTAGGGGTGCTTTTGGATGACTTGCTAGTAGCTGAGGACCTGGCAGCAGCTGAGACAACTAGTGCAGCTTCTCATGCAGCGGCAGCAGCCGCTGCTTCCAGTGTGCAGCAAGGAAGGTTACAAGGTAGATACGGCTTCACAGATGAAAGAAATGTAACAAATGTTCCCGAAACTGGTGCTGATGGTGCTGTTGTGGTAGGAAACCCCGTGGCTCCCCCTATAAATGGTGATATTAATACAGATATAAGTACGGAAAACGCAGCTCTTCAAGGTTCACGGTAAATTCACACTGCCTTTTATCTGGCCAAATTAGTTGTATTTTGGTTGCTTTTAGATCGGCAGATGTCTATCAACAGTGTACCAAAGAAGGTATTTTCCCCAGAAGACTGTATACTCTTAAGGACATTCACATCGGCTGTTAATAGGGGTGTTTGCTGATGTGGTTGTTAAAACCAATGTGAGTGCTTGTTATAACAAAGAGGCAGTGGGTATTCGAGGGTGGGTTGTTAACGCATACTAACAATGTTAATAGGTGGGAAAGCATAACAATGTCCAAGCATTTAGTTGGAAAGCATTTTTATGTTTAGTAGTGGGACCCACAAATACTGAGTGTTATTTGTTAAATTAATGTGGCGTTATTGGAAGGGTAAAATGGCACATTAGGCCCACAAATAACAACAAAATATGTTAAACCACTGTGGATGCTCTAATGTGGTGTCTGGGTCATCACAATGGTCAACTTTACAATAGGTGATGTTATGAATTAAAAATTGCTTGCTAATGCATAGTATTGCTTGATTCTCCTTTCTTTGACCTTCAAATTTTTGAGTTCCATAAAGTTCTTTATGACATCATAAGAGGAATCATGTTTCTTAAAAAGTATGAAGATGTACTTTCGTGTTTTGACTGTTATCGTAGAATTTCTTTCAGCAAATTATATGACTAGATGACTATATAGACAAAAGTAATAGAATCAGAAATAATGACATTTGTACCTTTATGGTTTCTCAATAATACAAGATTGTTGAAATACCCTTTTGCTGCCTTTCTTTGGTCTCTCAGGTGATTGCTCATCTTTTGAAACCTCGTGGTTGGAAGCCTCCAGTTCGAAGACAATTTTTCTTGGACTGCAATGAGATTGCAGATCTTTGTGATAGTGCTGAGAGGATTGCAAGTGAACCTAGTGTACTACAGCTGAAGGCTCCTATTAAGATATTTGGTGACTTACATGGGCAATTTGGGGATCTTATGTGGCTTTTTGATGAGTGTGGATCACCTTCTACATCTGGGGACACATCGTATGTTTCAAACAGTACTCTTACTATGTTTATTTGATATCATTTTTGAATTCGTCTCTTGCGAGGTATTATTTCTTTGTTTTGTTACTCTAGAAATATGGTTTTTTTGGGTTAACTGATAACATTGTTGCTTCTCATGGATTTTATTATATGTCAATCTATTGTTGTAATTATTGGGTTGTGAAAAGCTTCTTTCTTATTTCAAAGTGGTCGATCTGTTGAATAAATGCATACAACAACATTTTTGCATCAACTGCATGTAACAAACATGGCCTAGCCGGAAACACTCTTTATCACAGACACCCACACACTAACGGAGAAAACAAAGAGACCCGTAAAATGTAACTGAGAACTGCTGTTAAATGAATCTCTGCATCTGGTGTGAAATTGCAACCCTCATCTTATGCTTACTATAAAAGTGTCTGTCAGGTATATTGATTATCTTTTCTTGGGAGATTATGTTGACCGTGGACAACACAGCTTGGAAACCATAACTCTTCTCCTTGCTTTAAAGGTATTGGCCCATTTCTCTACTCAGTGAACTGTGTAGCAATCTCCTCTCATTCTTTCCCATAATACATAAACAAACAAAATATTTTTGTGCAAATTCGTGAAAATGTAGGTTGAGCATCCTCATCAAATACATTTAATACGTGGTAATCATGAAGCCGCAGATATCAATGCTCTTTTTGGCTTCAGAATTGAGTGCATTGAGCGCATGGTAAAACACCAAAAGTTCTAGTACTTTGTGGTTTGAGGAAATGAATTGTGAAACGAATCAATAAACCTTCTGTTTTTTTCCTGAATAGGGTGAGAGATGGAATATGGGCATGGCACCGGATCAACAGATTGTTCAACTGGCTTCCTCTGGCTGCATTAATCGAGAAAAAAATTATTTGTATGCACGGTGGTAACCTTTGGGGTGGGTGTTTTAATTCTTTTTATAAGTGTGTCCAATAGTTTAACTGCTCTCCTTCTGTTTGTGTGTGGACAACTTTGATGGGAGTACTCTCTCTCTCTCTCTGCTAGCTTTCTGATTTTTTTTTTTTGATTGACATGTATAGTGTTGCACCAGATATTTATATAGAGAATTTTCAGCTGCCCTTTATGGGATCTATGTTTCATTGAAGTTTATATATTTTGCAGCCTGATCGTGTAATGGAATTTTGTAATAACAACGATCTTCAGTTGATTGTTCGCCCAGTGTGTAATGGATGGATTTGAACGATTTGCGCAGGGGCATCTGATTACTCTATTTTCAGCCACAAACTACTGTGGTACGCCCTCATGATCTAATCGTGAAACAAATGTCTGGTCATAATACATTTACATTATATGTTGCCTCGTTTTCCTGAGTATTAAGTTTTGTTTTCCTTAAAAAAAAACATTTCTGCAGGTACTGCAAATAATGCTGGTGCTATCTTGGTTCTGGGTAGAGATTTAGTGGTTGTACCAAAGCTAACTCATCCTTTACCTCCTGCACTTTCTTCTCCAGAAACCTCTCCCAAACGTCATATAGAAGACACATGGATGCAGGTGCTGCTGTTATTGCCAAAAAAAAGTCTCTTTCAACTTAACAATTACCCACTGACATGTTTCTATATTTGCAAATTTCACCCAGATGATCATTACGTTTTCTTTAAGGGGTATCATTCATAGTTAAGCAACATGTTTGTATACAAAAATTTTCACTCAAAATTTCATACAACTCAAAATCTAACTCAACCTTAACTCAAATTCAATATCTTCAATATTATCAATATAATTAAATAAAGTCATTCAATCAAGATCTAAATTAAATTTCGTGGAGTGTGTAGCGCCAATTCCAGAGATCCCGCGGCAAAAGATCTTTATCCCTCTGTCGGCAGCGAATCCAACGGTGATCCCAAATCATTGTATCTCTTGTCATCCTCTCTATGTCCCCTCATCATCTCCCTATTTCCCGGTGGTGAAGGTAGTCTGTAATCTTTTGCCTTTACTCGAAGAAAACAATTGATTTAACATTGATATGCCCTTCAAGTGTAATCCTTTAACATTTGTGGTCCTTCAATTGATTTGCCAACTTGATGTATTTAACATTGCTTAGAAATCTAAAAGCCCTACCAATTCTTAATGTGATTGTATTTAACGTACACCTTGTGGATCTTTGAGTTTTTCATTGTGATTGTGCAATTAATAATATGATTGTGCAATTAATAATTGTATTTAATTGTATTTAATGTGATTGTATTTATGGTCTATGTGATGTTTTATATTAGGTGTATGTCTAAGTGGATGGAATTCTGCTCACTCTCTTAGTTCTATTTTGTCTTTTATTTTTCTTGTATAGTAGTTTTTATAGTGTCTCTTTGTATTGTTGTTTGCTGTTAGTTGTAGTGTCTTTGTATTGTTGTTTGCTGTTAGTTGTAGTGTCTTTGTATTGTTGTTTGTCCAATTAATCTTTGCATTGCTGTTTGTATGTCTTTGTATTGCTGTTTTGTTGTTTGTAGTGTCTCCAATTGAGATTGATATTGCCGTTTGCTGTTAGTTGTAGTTGTAGTTGAGGCACAGTTTTCAACAAATGTTTTTTTTCATTGCAGTACATTTTTTTTTAATTGCTTGTTTATTTTTATTCCGAATAACAAGAATCCTTATACTTGGCGAAGAGATGCATCTTACAGCAGAGAGATGATATCAGAGATCCCAACTTGAAGCAAGATGATTTTGATACTGTCCAGTTCGGCTGCACGTAAGCTTTCTACCCGTCGAACACATTGTTTAATGCAATGAACGTGATGCATTATTTTGGTCTGAAAGGGAAAGAGGACAAGAACTTGAAAAATTGGAATGCCGGTTCTTTTACATTGGAAGACCTTCAGCCAATTAGGGAAGTCCTCAATTTCGTTTGCCCCCATATTGTATATGTAGGAGAAGGAGTAGAAGATTACTATAAGAAACGGTGGAACAAGGTATTGCTCATTTCAACTTGAGGAGTATTTCGCATTACAAACTGTAATAGCTCTTAAACTTCATCCCAGTCTCTGTGTACCCGTAGGCAGAAAGATTAAAGTTTCTTTGGTGCAAGCATTGGCAAATGCTTGCTTAGAAGACTTGATAATTAAATCAAGCAAGCACTTGCCAATGCTTGAACCAAATAAGTTTTAATCATTCTGCCTACGAGTACACAGAGGATGAAGTTTAAGAGCTATTACAGCTTGTAACGTGAAATACTCTTCAATTTGAAAGGGGCAATACCGCCCGTGTTTGTTCCATCTGTTCTTATAGTAATCTTCTACTTCTCCTGCGTATACAATATCGGGGCAAGCGTAATTGAGGAGTTCCCTAATTGGCTGAAGGTCTTCCAATGTAAAAGAGCCGGCATTCCGATTTTTCAAGTTCTTGTCCTCTTTCCCTTTCAGAGCAAAAAAATGTATCACGCTCATAGCATTAAATATTGTGTTCGACGGGTAGAAAAGCTTAAGTGTAGCCGGACTGGACAGTGATACTGCAAAATCATCTTCTTCAAGTTGGGATCTCTGATATCATCTCTATGTTGTAAGATGCAAGATGCAGCCAAGTATAATGATTCCTGTTATTCGGAATAAACAAGCAATTGAAAAAAAAATGTGCTGCAATGAAAGAAACATTTGTTGAAAATTGTGCTTCAACTACAACTAACAACAATGTCAATCTCAATTGGAGACACTACAAACAGCAATACAAACACATACAACAGCAATGCAAAGATTAATTGGATAAACAACAATACAAAGACACTACAGCAATACAAAGAGACACTATAAAAACTACTATACAAGCAAAATAAAAGACAAAATAGAACTAAGAGAGTGAGCAGAATTCCATCCACTCAGACATACACCTAATATAAAACATCACACAGACCATAAATACAATTATTAATTGCACAATCACATTGAAAAACCCAAAGATCCGTGTAGGTTAAATACAATCACATTAAGAATTGGTAGGGCTTTTAGATTTCTAAGCAATGTTAAATACATCAAGTTGGCAAATCAATTGAAGGACCATAAATGTTAAAGATTACAATTGAAGGGCATATCAATGTGAATTCCCTCTCCACTCTCTCTCAATGGTTTTCTTTTTTTTTTTTTCAAAACATTTATTTACTATTGGGACCTTCTGCTCTTTCCTATCCTGAAGTACTTATACATCGAACTTTGTAAAAAAACAATTGAGGGAAACCATAAAGTAGGAATTTAGGTATTAGAAAATGGGAATATAAACTCTTGACAGTTCATAGTAATCCAAGTTAGCAGATTTGTTGCCCTTACCCTTCACTTGCACAATCTTTTACTTGATTTGATACTCAAATTATTGGTTTTTTTGTCATTTCTATTTCATTAGGGAAATTTGAGATCTAATTACCTGGGTTAAGATGAAATTTGTCTTGTTACTGGGAACATTCCTCATTGAATTTTTTCATCTTCATATTTGACCTTCCTCACTCACATAATTTATATGTTTACAGAAATTGCTATAATTTGCATCAAGTCTGATCTGAAAAAAATGAAGATAGGAAAATATCTAGACTTCAAAATATTTCTCCTGTATGTTTTTGCTCTCTGAAACTTTCGATACGAGTTATCTGTAAATGTGCTCGAGCTTCTAATTATGTAATGCAGAAGAACTTCGGGCAAAGAGGAAGAAGCAGCTGAAGAAAGACACCGCAACCAAGATAAAGTCGCTAGTGGATGAGGTAAAAGTTAATTTGCATTATGATTGGTAGACTTGTTAAGTATATGTTAGTACCTGAAAAAATGTTATCCTCCTTTCTTTGGGGTTATCTGATTGAATTAATAACTACATAGACTATTAACTTCCAGATGACAAACATGTTCTGGTTTTCTTTTGAACAATGACAGGGAAAATATGAGCAGGAATTTGAAAGATCAGAGGAATTTCAGCAACAGTTGAAATTGAAAGTCCGAGAAATCTTAACTGATCAAGAGTGGAGGAGAAGGAAAATGCAGATGAGGGTATTCCACATTACTGTTTAGTCTTTGATGAAAGACAATTTCTTGTTCAGAATTCCCACTACATTTATTTATTTATTTTCTTTTTGTTATTGTTGTAGGTATCAGAGGAGGAAGGTAGATTAAAGAAAAACGAAGAAGAAACCAAAGAGATGTGGAAACGAAAACGTGAACACGAGGAGCAATGGGAAGGCACTCGTGAACAGAGGGTTAGTTCTCTCATGCATTTTATTTCGTATTATTATTATTTTTTAGGTACATGTTGTAGATAATGTGATGTTTATCGGCTTTAGTTTTCTTGTTCCCATTGGACATGTAACAAGGGAAATTCATTAACGAAACAAAGAAGAAGATACTAATACAGGTTTTGATTTCTTAAAAATTTAAATCATTGAACTTACCTCAGGTTTCAAGCTGGAGGGACTTTATGAAAGGTGGAAAAAAGGTAACATCTTTATTTTCCTTTTTTTTTTTTTTTTTCCTTTTCCCTTTCCTTCTCTTTCAGGAAAAAAGTTGCTAAAGCGTTTTACTTTTTTGTGGTATTCTAGGTTAAAAAAGGAGAGCTCCGACCTCCAAAGCTTAAGACAGAGGATGCAAACAAATCGTACGTTCAAAGGCCAGTAAAACGAGGATGATTATCACGGCCTTTGTACTTCTTCCAAATTAACCATGGTGTTGCCCAAGAAATTTTTGAATGTGTAGTTTTGTAGAAATCGTTTTTCACAACATGGACCAAATTGAGATATCCACTTGAATCGTCTACAGCTATTCTAAGTTACAATGTTCCCTTAACAACACATGTCTGTTAACGTTATTTTTAATTTAGATGCATGTATGTTTTCTTAGCATTGGTGTGAGTAGAACTTAAAAATTGAACCCAAAAAGAAAAATGGGAATGCATTATTGTTGCTCTAGTACTTCAACTCAGTTTGTGGGCACTGCAATTGTATTAAGTTACATGTGATGTGGAGCATGAAATTTGGAAGCCATTGGACACCATCAAATATTTTTATTCTCCCATCTCAACTCTTCATTCATTAATTCTTTCATTATAATTTTCAAAATCAAAATACTAGTAGTAAAATTTACAATAAATCAACTTTATTTTGGTATCAATTATTATTTTACAATATTGGTATCATCACAATTAGTAATTATACGTTGCACTAAAATAATAGTTCCTCCAAATCATCTTTAATCTTTCTTTCCACAGAATTTTCAATAAGAAAAATAGCAAAATTCACTAACTAAATATGAAAAACCCAGATCGCGATTCTCATCTTCTCACTAATGTTACATTGTACACCGACCAGAATCCAATTACTACACAAAGACACAAAGGAAACACATAGCAAAATCCCTCAATATTTTACATGAACCAACAAGAAAATTTCTAAGCTGAAATCTTACAAATCACATATGTAATGACTTCACGTCCTCTTAAAAACACTGATTTTATCAAAAAATAATAACAAATACAAACTTACAAGGAACCAAGGAAAATTTCATAATGCCGACAAGCAATAACCCAGCCTGACGAGAAAACGACCCAATACTCCTAGTTTCGAACCTTCTCTTAACAGCATATATTCATCATTTGGGGCAACGAAGACTTTTATGCAGCAGCACGTTAAGAGTCGAAAAACCTGCAGTTCAAACACATCTCTTCATCATGTTTAGGCTTTTTCTTGAGCAATGCAAAAAGATCCCGACAGCTCGAAGGTCTCCGAGAAGATTTGAAGCTCTCTTGATGGGATTAATCCACATATGGGGGCCAGCCAACATGCTATGTACAAATCTCTGGAAATTTCCAGGTGTTAGCATGAAAGCCTGGGAGAAGTGTATTTAGTTAAAACAATCTGTGGAGCATTAGATTAAATCCAAGCAAGAGAACCTCTGTCGTTAGGTACTTGCGGACGGCCTCTGGTAGGTGTAGCTGGTCTGTTGGCATTAAGTTCCTGAGAGAAAAAAGAAAGTGTCAGCTAGCCACTAAAAATATTGCCTAACTATGAACGATATGATACCCTCTTAAAGAAAAATTATTGATCATCTGGGTGAAATTTGCAAATATAGAAACATGTTAGTGGGTAATTAATTGTTAAGTTGAAAGAGACTTTCTTTTGGCAATAACAGCAGCACCTGCATCCATGTGTCTTCTATATGACGTTCGGGAGAGGTCTCTGGAGAAGAAAGTGCAGGAGGTAAAGGATGAATTAGCTTTGGTACAACCACTAAATCTCTACCAAGAACCAAGATAGCACCAGCATTATTTGCAGTACCTGCAGAATTATTTTTTTTAAAGAAGAAAAAAAAAATAATACTCGGGAAAACTAGGCAACATATAATGTAAATGTATTGTGTCCAGACATTTTTGTTCGCAATTAAATTAAATCATGAGGGCATACCACAGTAGTTTGTGGCTGAAAAGAGAGTAATCAGATGCCCCTGCGCAAATCGTTCAAATCCATCCATTACACACTCGTGGGCTCGAACAATCAACTGAAGATCGTTGTTATTACAAAATTCCATTACACGATCAGGCTGCAAACCAAATAAACTTCAATGAAACATAAATCCCTTAACTGAGGGCACCTGAAAAATATCTGGTGCAGCAATATACGTCAATCAAAACAAAATAAATAAATAAATAAGTAAATCAGAAAGCTAGCAGAATGACAGTATTCGGGGAAAAATTTTAAGACTAATCGTCATGAGAGAGATAGAGAGGTTCCTCCCATCAAAGTTAATCACACACAAACAGAAGCAGAGCAGTTACACTATTGGACACACTTTTGAGAAGAATTAAAACACCCACCCCAAAGGTTACCAATCCAGGACCCCTTGCATTTGGCCTCAAACCTTCCACACTGTCGTTTTCAGTGGGATCAGACCTACAATAAATTTCATCCACATCAAGATACAAATAACACTAAGATAATCTACTAATCTTAATAAAAAATACCAGAGGTCATGCACTAACCACAATAAGTCCATAAGAACAATAGATCCTGCTTCCATTGCAATTGGACGCTGTATAGTCTGGATCTGCTCCACATGGTTAATTGATCTTCCTATACCACCATGCATACAAATAATTTTTTTCTCGATTAATGCAGCCAGAGGAAGCCAGTTGAACAATCTGTTGATCCGGTGCCATGCCCATATTCCATCTCTCTCACCCTATTCGGGAAACAAACAGAAGGTTTATTGATTTGTTCCAAAATTCATTTCCTCAAAACACAAAGTACTAGAACTTTTAGTGTTTTACCATGCGCTCAATGCACTCAATTCGGAAGCCAAAAAGAGCATTGATATCTGCGGCTTCATGATTACCACGTATTAAATGTATTTGATGGGGATGCTCAACCTACATTTTCACGAATTTGCACAAAAATATTTTGTTTGTTTATGTATTATGGGAAAGAATAAGAGGAGATTGCTACACAGTTCACGAGTAGAGAAACGGGCCAATACCTTTAAAGCTAGGAGAAGAGTTATGGTTTCCAAGCTGTGTTGTCCACGGTCAACATAATCTCCCAAGAAAAGATAATCAATATACCTGATAGATACTTTTACAGTAAGCATAAGATGAGGGTTGCAATTTCACAGTCACCAGATGCACAGATTCATTTAGTAGCAGTTCTCAGTTACATTTTACGGGTCTCTTTGTTTTTCTCGTTAGTGTGTGGGTGTCTGTGATAAAGAGTGTTTCCGGCTAGGCCATGTTTGTTACATGCAGTCGATGCAAAAATGTTGTTGTATGCATTTATTCAACAGATCGACCACTTTGAAATAAGAAAGAAGCTTTTCACAACCCAATAATTACAACAATAGATTAATATATAATAAAATCAATGAGAAGCAACAATGTTATCTGTTAACCCAAAAAAACCATATTTCTAGAGTAACAAAACAATGAAATAATACCTCGCAAGAGAAGAATTCAAAAATGATATCAAATAAACATAGTAAGAGTACTGTTTGAAACATACGATATGTCCCCAGCTGTAGAAGGTGATCCATACTCATCAAAAAGCCGCATAAGATCCCCAAATTGCCCATGTAAGTCACCAAATATCTTAATAGGAGCCTTCAGCTGTAGTACACTAGGTTCACTTGCAAATATCCTCTCAGCACTATCACAAAGATCTGCAATCTCATTGCAGTCCAAGAAAAATTGTCTTCGAACTGGAGGCTTCCAACCACGAGGTTTCAAAAGATGAGCAATCACCTGGGAGACCCAAGAAAAGCAGCAAAAGGGTATTTCAACAATGTTGTATTATTGAAAACATAAAGGTACAAATGTCATGATTTCTGATTCTATTACTTTTGTCTATATAGTCATATAGTCATATAATTTGCTGAAAGAAATTCTACGATAACAGTCAAAACACGAAAGTACATCTTCACACTTTAAGAAACATGATTCCTCTTATGATATCATAAAGAACTTTATGGCACTCAAAAATTTGAAGGTCAAAGAAAGGAGAATCAAGCAATAGTATGCATTAGCAAGCAATTTTTAATTCATAACATCACCTAATGTGAAGTTGACTATTGTGATGACCCAGACACCACATTAGAGCATCCACAGTGGTTTAACATATTTTGTTGTTATTTGTGGGCCCAAAGTGGCATTTCATCCTTCCAATAACGCCACATTCATTCAACAAATAACACTCATTATTTGTGGGTCCCACTACTAAACATAAAAATGCTTTCCAACCAAATGCTTAGACATTGTTATGCTTTCCCACCTATTAACATTGTTAGTATGCGTTAACAACCCACCCTCGAATACCCACTGCCTCTTTGTTATAACAAGCACTCGCATTGGTTTTAACAACCACATCAGCAAACACCCCTATTAACAACCGATGTGAGTGTCCTCAAGAGTATACAGTCTTCTGGGGAAAAATACCTTCTTTGGTACACTGTTGATAGACATCTGCCGATCTAAAAGTTTCCTAGCTGCCGTTGCACTTTCCGGAGTTCCATAACTGACGCGCCTGCCTTCATTTTCAAACTGATCAATTGAAAGCTGTCTGACCATACCACCCAAAGCACCACCAGTCTCTGCTGCCACAACAACCTGCAAATGTACACAAAACAGGAAAATATAGAAAAGAAAACAAAAGAGATAGAACAACCCGATTCCTACCAGATATATATAGCATTTCATTATCACAGTACTCACAGCACGATGATGAAGCCTAACTCCAGTAGAAGCAGAACCAGTCAACACAGCAGAATCAGGCTTGATCAAGGTTGATATCTGTTTTCCGCTCGGTGTAGCCTCAGCCCCACGATCTCTATCAGGTAGCTCAACTTCTCCATTAACCTGCCGGGCTTTAGCAGCTGCCAAAGCAGCAGTAATAGCCTCAGCTTCTGCTGCAGCAGCCTCAACTAAGTACTCGACACCTTTGCTTGACCTTTTGTACGAGCATTGTCACACCAAGTCTCAGGAAGGGGAAAAAAGCAACCAAAATACAACTATTTGACCAGATAAAAGGCAGTGTGAATTTACCGTGAACCTTGAAGAGCTGCGTTTTCCGTACTTATATCTGTATAAATATCACCATTTACAGGGGGAGCAACGGGGTTTCCTACCACAACAGCATCAGTTTCGGGCACATTTGTTACATTCCTTTCATCTGTGAAGCCGTATCTACCTTGTAACCTTCGTTGCTGCACACTGGAAGCAGCGGCTGCTGCCGCTGCATGAGAAGCCGCACTAGTTGTCTCAGCTGCTGCCAGGTCCTCAGCTACTAGCAAGTCATCCAAAAGCACCCCTACGACAGTTAAGAGTCAAACTGTTAAAGTACAGAATGGTAAAAAGAAAAATCATATATGGATCATGTAACTTGTAAAGCACTATCCAACAGAAAGTCTGGACTAATAATGAAATGAGAAACATATGGCATGCACATTTGCAACCAAGAATAGCGTTGCCAAAGGATGGAACCATTAGGTAGTGCTTGGATATAAATCTTGATTGAATTTGTCAAATTTAACTCAACAGTCAACCCCAACCCTGCTCAATATTATCAATATAATTAAATCATATCAATCAATCATCCTCACACATGACATCAATTAATTCACTATTCATCCACTCACATAATTTTAACTACCCATCACTTCCAGTCACTTCTCTCCTACTTTTACATCAAATCAACTTTAATCGTTTTATTTTAAATATTATAATACAAACTAAAAATCACACTCAAACCTAACCCAACCCAACTTTTTCAAAATTAACTTTGGTTAAACCAAAAAACCAATCAAAACCAAAATATCCAATCAAAAACGTGTGCACATTCAGAAAAAGAACAAATATTTCAAATTCCATGAAAATGGATTACGGTAATTCAATAGTAACTTTACCTAACATCTCAACATGTCATCAGTATGAAGCAAACATTAAACATACTGAAAACGGCAAACTCTCAACACCATTGCCATTCCAGAGCTTCAATTTCCACAAAACATGTACAATCAAGCTTCAGCTTGTAATATAATCCTCACATAATACTTCAATATCATCAATTTTACACAAAACCTATTTCATTAGAACAGAAAAACAGCTCCAAAACACAAACTTCCCTTTACACATTACCAAAGATGGGGAACCATACCACAAAGTTAATATATTAATATAAAAACAAAAAAAAAAAAATAGCAACTAAATTGGCCACACAAATCACTCAAGTGCCTACAACTGCACAGTAACAAAATATGCTAAAGAACTATATTGCAAAATTCAACGTTTAAATTTCCAATTAAAGTGGATGTATCATGTCTCACCACCGCGTAAACCACCATAAATGAAAATCAAATCACCAACAGCAGCTGCAGCATGCCTACAGCGCCTTGTTAACTCAACTGCTGCATCACCACCAGCAGCATCTGCACTGTATCGTCCAGTCCTTGGACTCGTAACAACAGACTTCGTGTCACACCAGACTCCAGCAGCCGTATCCAAAACTAACCATAAAATGAAAGGCCAAATACTTGTTCAATAAAACGATCAAATCGAGTAATTTTTCCAAGACAAAAAAATTATTGAAGGACAAAATCTACTTAACAAATAAATAGTACCAGCCACACTTGAAGAGTCTTCTACCATGCGCCCGCCACCAAGAGCCCCTCCAGATACGTGAAGGCGTGCATTAACAAATACCTATAAGAAAGGAACAATCACAAGATCGACCAAAGATCAAGCATTATAACCTTTGTTCATGTAACCAAATACCGTACGAACAAGAGATACAGTTTGCAATTAGAACAAGTAAATGAAACTCACAGCTGCATGCTGATATCTTGAAGATGGTGAGACACCAGGAGCAATGGCCCATTCCCAACGACCATCTCTATGTTTAGCAAGCCCATATGCACTAGCAAGTGGCTGCATAATCAATCGTTTATACAACTCAAATGACAGTGGACACATAGATGGAACATTATTTGAAAGTCTAGATCACACAATCTGAACAAATGGTCAAAAGACTTGGCCAAAATTTTACAACATAGTTCACCAATCACTTTGGAGAGAAGATTCAATCACACCCGCATGTAATATATAGCCACTGTTACAGTAAGAGAATCAAACAAAATTTTTGGGCAGTAAAGTACAGCTAATATGAAGACTATTTACTACTAGAAAGTGAAAGTTGAGGTCCTCAAATGACCGACCCAGCTTTTCTTAATGAAAATTGCTATGTAAAGAAGGGATCAACTGAATATTATACATAACACAAACCATGAACGAAAAGAAACTTGGAATCATACTAAGTTACTAACCACACTATTTGCATCCCTCCCACCACAGAGCAGAAGAAGACCATCAGAGCGAGCACTCGCTGTTGCATACCTGAGCAAAGTGGACATACAATATAAATACTAAAATAGGTTTCAGTTTTTTATCAGGCTGAATTCCATATATCACATGAAAGGGATGCAAATTGAGTATACAAGTTTTGCTTATTGTTAGCAAAAACTCAAGGCACGAATCTCAAACCACTAGCAGACAATAATTTTTCAGTTTCAGTAACTCATACTATCCCACAACACACAAAAACAGAGTTGCTAGAATCAAGCAGGAAAACAGAATAAGAGAGAAACCAAGTTGGAATGGCGGGCCGTATCTTCAGCTCGTTCAAAAAGTAACTGACCTCTGTACTAAGAGGTTTGGTAGTACACGTTAAGCCTGAAAAGATTGAGAATTGAGATACTCCTACCTAAGATAATTTATCACATTTGATGGACTCATAACTCAAAAAAACACCGTCACGCCTAAAAGATTCACAGAACAGGCTCAACCTAATTCTAGATATAACTAAATCCTTAAGTGCATTTGATGAGATGACATTGTTTGTGCACCAGGTAGACCTGATCGAGATTATTTTTAGCATCTTGGATAAAACACAAGTCTCCCAGCATAATAAACAAGTAGAGAGACACGGGCACTGTCCAAGAAGGGCAACATAAAGCAATATATGAGAAGTACAAGATGTGAGAATTTTAAACCTCTCAGGAGTAGACCAGCTACAGACTCCGTGAATAAAAGTTGATTAAAACCATTAATGCGATTTAACTTCTGTAATTTGGTCTGTGAACTGTTAATAACATAAAGATCACGATCTAAAAGGTTTGACGCAAAAGACAGATAGATGGGTAGACAAGATATGCCTTATCTGCAAGATGGAAGACATGAACTAAGCTCCAAGTTTTTTTGTGAATAGATATTTTTATGAGAGAGAGCTTGTTGTTGTAGTTTGAACTGAAGATATCAACTTTAGGAATTTGATTTGGCCACAATAAAGTGTGAAAAAGAAAAATATATATATATATATATATATATATATATATAATACAAATTCTATCTCTCAGTCAGCTACCGTCAGTTTTACCTATGTAACTTCAACCATTAATTACAATGAAAAACATGTCAAATTAATCATGTCTTCTATAGATATAGATAATAGAGACAGCTATTCAGTCCAAAAAGGAGTCTGCTTCTCAATACGTAACAATATAATTAGCGCTGAGTTAAATTAGCTATATTCAGAATTAAAGTGGGTAAAAAGCAGGCACCGAATGTAAATAGAAAGAAAAATATACATTTCAAAATAGAAAATAAGTCAACAGAAACCACAAACTCACATGCAAGGAGGTGGACCTTCGCCTTCTGGTTCCAGTTTCCGCCATTCATATGGCTTTGCAGCAGTGTCCAGTGCCCATACATCAGCCAAAGGTCGTTTTCCTAGTAGCAGACACCAAATTATCTGTTTACGAAAATACTAATTAAAACAATTATGAAAAGTAGTTGAAAAGAAGGTATACCATCATTTCCTCCAATTGCCATAAGATATCTTTGTCCAACCAAAGCCATCACATGGCCATATCGTGGCCCTGGCCCAGGACCTTGAACCACAACCCTAACAAAAGGATAAAAGTGTGAATCAATGAAAATAGAATAAGAAATACATAAAAATGTGGACGATGGCACTAATACAACGTGATTTTCTTTATTCATTAGTTAAAATCGTGAGTAGGCACGACACAAACCTATGCCATCTTGGCCGTTGTTGTGTAAGGTCCAGAACATGAAGATCTTCAGCAGACAAACCAGCGGGACCTATCCCACCCTGAGAAGGGAAAGAAGTTAATGTGGCATATAAATCAAGATTGCAGAAACATAAATGAGGTAGCTTTGCAAACCACTCAACGTGTCAGCAAACCTGAATAACAACCATGGTGCCAACAGTAGTTGCCACGTGAGCAGCACGAGGTGTGGGTGGTTCTCCAATTGGAGTTATCCTGTGAATATTAAAGCGCACGCCTTAGTAGAAGAAACTTCGCACAGACGGATACGTCAACCACTCAGAAGAAAACCACAGGAATAGCCACGATGAATAACTTAAAATCACACTTACCGAGACCATTTATTGGTCAAAACATCATAACAGTGCACATCGGCAGTAGCTCCAGCCAGACCTGAGGGTACATTCATGCTAGAGTTATTAATAGCTCTCAATCAATGAAGTGACAAATTATTCTCAAGCACATCACCATAACCGTCATTAGTTAGTAGCTACAGCAAAATATTCTGCCTTTTCTCCAAAAAATGCTTCTATTTTATTCCTAACAAACTTCAGGAAAAAGAAAATCACAGTAAATTAATGTGAAATACCAATTATGTAAAAAATTTATCCCAGTACACAGTTCGCAGCCCTCAAAATCAAAACTGACTATAGCAGCTGAGAATATCTCAGTCTCATTATGGCAACTGAATTAACAAAATCATCTCATTCAAACTCCTATTCTAATACCGATCAACATGGAATACCAATCAACTCAAAAATCACCAAACACTGCGCCAAAAGAATCATACTTAACTTAAGGGGGGGACAAAAAGATATAACCAGACAAGAAAATGTGAAAAAGGGAAGACAAATACCAAAGAGGGAGCCCATGCTGGAAAAATAAAAGAAAAAAGAAAAAAGAAAAAAGAAATGAAAACATACGAATCCCAGCACTTCCGACCGACGACGGAGTCCCCGACTGACTGGAATTCCCCTCAAGAGCCGTAGCCCCTCCGAACAGAATTAATCTAGGGCCAATATACCCGGGGGTCCCCTCCTCACCAACGGAAGGCACAGCCGTCAGCGTGTGGCCACACCTCGGTCCCGGCCCATCCTCCTTCTTCTCCATTATGGCATTCACCACACTGTACGTCGGCGCACACCGCGGCCCCGCCATCACCGCTCCTCCTCCACCACCACCACTGTAACTATCGCTTCTATTATTCTGATGCTGCTGCTGAGACGAAGAGGTCTCGGATTCAGATTCTGTGGGCTGCCCCGCACCATTAGCCGTGCTAGACAGCTCGGACGGATCGTGGTCGGGCTCCGTAGCCATAGCAGAATCCACATCCATTTCTACCTGGAAAAAACCCTAAATTGCTGAGTAAGGCAATGAGATCGGAGCTCGAATTCTCAAAAGTTGGCATTTCCAGACTTCATTTTGCCAAACAATATCCCTAGCTCCGATCCTTTTTCCGCCCGTTCTTTTATTTCTCTATCTGTGAAACGGTGGCGACTGACGATGAAATCGGAAAAGAATCTCAATTATTTCTCTTATTAAACTATCATATTAAATTAAATGAAATTTATATTGTCTATGAGGAAAAGGAAATATGAGGAAAATGATTAAAAACCACTTCAGCAATCAGATATGAGTGTATCTGTTTTGATTAAAGTGGGTGCGTGTGTGTGGCTGAGGGCCCTTTATGTGATAAAAACCACTTCAGCAATAAGCAGCAGAATAACAATTTCGTGCTTATGTTTTTTGGGGAACTAAAAGATAACGAATTTTGGGACTGACCAAAATGGTAGGGTTTAAGTAGGGTGTAGTTATTACATAGCCATGTAATGTATGACTTTGAAGGCACATATGTTGTACATTTTGTACATTTGATGATTTGATTAGGAATTGTCCTGTTGATTCTTATATTCTTTTTCACCTGTAGCAATATATATAATTTGAGAATAGAATAAAGTATAAAGTTTGATATTAACTGACATCAAATATCATTTGCACAACAAACCTAATTTTAGATTTAACATGAAATATCAAAAATATGAGGCACTTCTACAACCTTAAAAGTATAACAAAGTATAACCAAGTAAAATGCAACACAAAAAAATATCACCCGGCAAAAATAATTGAATCAAAGAAGATCAGTACGACCATACCTAAACTCAAAACACAATAACACGAAATACATGCATAAACTCAGAACACAATAATACGGTCATACTTAAAACATATGCATAACAACTGTAGAATGTACCTTCAAACTTTAGTTTTTCGCCGGTTATATACCTAGAATAGTGTTATATTACTTGTTTCTTGGTGGTTTGCCGTATTAATCTCCTCGTGATTTGGGTAGTCAAAAATAGGAAACCATCATCGTCGCGGTCTACAGTGCGTTCACCTCTACCTTGTCTATACTGTAAGACACGCCAAATAAATAAAGATATTGATATCACTGTAAAAATATATGTGACCACATTAATAAAACCATAAAATTATATATAGATACAGCTCCCGCATCAACTTCATTGTAGAGACCAATGTTTTCTTGTTGACGACTGCTTTCTGGAACATCATTGGACTTACCGCACTCTCCAACATTTAATCCCTTAGAAAAAATAACCAAAAAAAACTTTAAGACATAACAAATAGGAGAAAGTCTATGTAATTGAGCTCGACCAACGGTAGAGGCAGTAAGCAACAAAGGATCAAGCGCTTTGACTTTGTCTCCAAGGATCCACCATAGGTTAGGTTTGAGAGTCATGTGATGGGTCACTATCCAGCACGGCCCAGTTCTTGAATACGTTCCATATAATTTGTATTTGTATTTCTTAAAGAAACATTGATGTTACAATCATCTTGGTAAAACGTTTTTTTCTTTTTTCCAGCTAAAAAAAACATAGCTACTAAATTCACAAAACAAATATATATTTGTAAACAAGGAAAATGATAGAGTGAGCATAAACCGTTTGAGGAATATCTTCATTCTCCACATCGAGTGTGACGTCTTGTCGTTTACCACCTTTTTCACGTTGATACATATTTGATTAATTTTTAAAAAAAAGAAACACATATATCAACATTGTTTGTTTAAGAATGAGGAACTTATACAACACTTTCGTCGAAAATTCATTAAACTTCTTTATATATAAACATCGTTCATGATCGTCACTTGCTTTGAATATAGTCCATCTAAACGTTCTAGAATCTGAGATTCTTTCAAATCGGGAACAAAGTAGTTGGGAGTACTTTCAGCACGGGTAAACTCATTCTCCGATTCCGTGGGAGTTATAATTTTGAACTGAATGGATCACTCTCACTTGTATGGATATCATACTTTAAAATCGAATTTTATAAGTTTAACATTCCACAGTATAAATATATAATTTTTCTTTAAAGAATTATGGCTAACTTGGTCTTAATTTTCTTTGAGATTTCTCTTGTGATTTTTTATAATTTTCGAATTTTAGAAGAATCCTGTAAAATCTTAAATCTGGTGGTAAGATTTATATAGAGATTACGTATATATTTTCTTCAACAAATTATAGTTAAGTTAAATACCTCAAGATTTTGTAGAGTTTAAAATCTCACAAATCTTAAAAAGTCCCAGCAAATTATAGTTAAGTTAAATACCTCAAGATTTTGTAAGGCTTTAAAATCTCAAATCAATTATAAATATATAATAAGAATTATCATTTATCAAAAATAGTAACAAAAAAATAGGTCAGAATTTAATGCAACCGATAAATAGTAAGTTTTATTATTTTTCTTAATTTTTCTTTAAAAAAATCATACAACATTAAATGCTACCTTAAATTTTGAGCTTTAGTTCATTTTATTATTTAAAAAATTCGGCCAAGATTTATTAAGTGTGTATGTTTTTATTTTTATTTTTTTCTTAGAAACAACGAACAACATTAAAATCTCGGTCTTTATAATTATAAAATCTCAAGTCAAAATATAACAAAAGTTTTAGAATCTCGGTCTTTATATTTGTGCCTTTAGAAAAAAATATTGGACGCTAAAAATATTCTTTAAATTGCATAATCAATCAATTAATCTTAATTTTTTGAAAATTACTATGTTTATTTTTTATTAATATGCATAAAGTAAAAATAATTAACTCAATTTTAGATATATAATTTGTAATCTTAATATACTATCGTTTGGTGTAGACATTTATTATATGAATCATAAAATATTTTTATTTCATAAAATTAAATATATTTAAGAAAATAAAAAAAAATTCTTCGGATCAATCGGGTGATTGAACTAGGGTACTGCCCAGGTTGATTGATTACTTTTAGATAATATTTAAAATAGTAAAAAAACTTGACACAACTTGGTTGGTCCCATGTGACTAAATTATATATCAGTTCGACCACACCAAATCAATTATTGAACCTAAATATAAATTTTATATTAAAAAGTATTTTATTACGTGAATGTGATGTAGTCCAAACTTGAAATAATCGTATTAACAATACTTTTATGACAACAAGTTTACTGATTTATGAATATTTATATATCATTTTATTAATATTTATGTGAATTAAATAATATTTTACTATAATATTTATTAATGTACAGTAAATATAAGATTTTCAGAACTGAACCGTCATCGAAACGATCAAGCTATTTTATTAAATCATTTGTGGTTTGCTCATATTTTAATTTATAAACATTTTAATAGATATATATATAGTACTTTTTGTAATAAATTTAAATAAAATGCGTTACTTAGATATCTAAACAATTTATAAATTCAAATGTTTAAACTAATTGATAAATAATTTATAAACCTCTATTTTATTTAAACATGTAACTTTATTTAAAATAATTTCAAATTTAATAAAATTTATTTAGAAAATCGTATCAATCCTACCAGTACAACCGACTGGTGTTTACGAATTCGAGAGCAAATATTTTATTCAAGCCAACTAGACTGGTTATAAGCCGATTCTCGGTTCATCCGGTCGGAATGTATCCAACCCGGTTTAATTTAAAAACAATAAATAAATCATGATTGATATTATATATATATATATATATTTAATTTATAATACAATCGTAATATTATTTTTTCGTGCATCGCACGGACCACGCACTAGTGAATACTTCATCAAGACTTTTAAAAGTCTAAATTAAATACACCAGAACTTTTAGTCTTAAAAAGTCTTTAGAAATCCTAATTGTAAACACCCCTAAATTAGTATTTAAACCAAACAAGAATTCAGGGAAACTCTACCAGCCACAGCTTCTGGAACAAGACAACAATCACAAGTGAAAAAAACATAATCTGGAGTTCTATGATACATGCTCCGCAACCAAAAACCCAACCGCCATTTCTAATAATACAAATAAATTAAATGCAATAAAATAAACCACTAAAATGTTCGAGACACCATACTCAATCATTGTACAGCAAACGAGCCCGTCTCTTAACTCAAGTCATGCCCCAGGGCATTATCGGATAGTATAAGGAACTCATACAAGCACTGCCATAACATATGCTCACAAGCATATGCACGTCCTCGTGCCTTTTATGTACAAACAGTAAGTTGCCGATTTTTGGCAATATCGCTAGGAGGAATTTAAGATACCACTGATTGAGAAGCTAAGGAATGGCCCTTGGACTACTTTTTGAAGGTTTTGCATTAGACCCATTGGATTTTGCTTTGTCTTTCTCAGGTTTGAGAGCAGTGGGAGATCGTTTGACGTTAGGCTTTGGCCTAGCCTGTTGAGCCCCATTATTTTGTCCTGCCCAAATCAGATTGTAGAAAGATAATTTGATTATATGATGATATATTTGTGCCATAATATATTCCCACAAGAACAAATTCGCTCTGATATTTTCGAATCACTAACATTTGGGGACACCTACCAAGATGCACAAATTATGTGATTGTTACTGTTGTCTACAATCAAGAAACGAGATT